CAAGGGATGTGATTTTGGTTTCTTATCTTCAGATTTGTTGGTGTTTAAAAACCTTTGAGCTTCTTATTATCCAATAATAAGTATCCTAAAAGAACATAATTTATTTATCTAATTTGTTTAAGTTGTGTAGAGTGTTTATCTGATGTTTTTTACCCCCTAAAATTCTCTGAATAAGTAATAGTGACCACAGTAATTGTTGGACACAATCTGAAAAAAATTATATTTTCTTCCTGTGAAATGTGTCACACCACAACTGAGAAATCTGAATCATGTCCACTGGATATTTAATTGACAAGCACTTTTCCATGACAGCTTTGAAGCATAAATCTGTCCCCCATATTAACTTTTCTTCACTGCACTGTAATGCTGAAAACAGCTCACTTGCCTGGTTGTACAGTGACAACTTTTTGTTGCTTTACAGTCTTAATGTCGTAATTGGCATTTAAAATCAACCCAACTTGTTAACATCTTTTCATATCCAGTATTTATTTAATTTTCTAACTTTCAGTGTTTTTTTGCACTTATTTCCAGAACAGCATGTGTATGCACACATAATTGCTAAATGAGTTAATGTTATGTACATGTAATAATTTATACAATGTAGAGCTAGACCACAGCAGTGGCCAAAGTACCAAAACAGGTTTGGCTGGTGTGGCTCTTGACAAAGCAAGCATGTTCTACAGGTCTCTGTATGTTTTGGGGGGGGTGTAAACAACTCAACAAAACAATTGTCAACAACAGGCATGAGTTTAACTCTTCGTATGTCAACTCACTGAAATCTTTTTGTTGATTCAGAAACGTAACTAACATACAGTAACTACAGTGCATAATCAGTTTGCAAAAAGTAGTCTGTTGGCAGCAATACTAATATAACTCAGCTGGAAATTAAGCAGCGTGTGGCTATGTTGACACTTGGGCTACATGATTCTTACGAGAGGTAGAAACCCCATTTTACATTTTTAACAAATTATTTAACATTGAATAACTTTTAATAACATATCATAGTAATTCTCTTGTTTTATGCCCTGAGGCACTACTTATTCTGCAACTGTGTATTGCTGCTGAATATCACTGAAATTCTCTTCTCTTAATTGTGTATTTTGCTTTTATTATGAAATCCAAACCGCTTTTCTTTATCTTTTCTATTACTCACTACTTAAAATCAACATTAAAAAAGAATTTCAAAAGAAAAAAAAGCTTTCCAATGTTGTGTGCTGTCCCCTTTTTCTGTCATTAATTATTTTCGTCCATCTGTCCTCTTCAACTTCCAGGGATCGTTTCCGTACATCGGTTAATGTGGTTGGGGACTCCTATGGAGCAGGTATCGTGTACCACCTTTCCAAACACGAGCTTGACTCATTCGACTCCCAACAGACCAGGATGGAGGACTTTGAGATGGCAAAGACACAATCCTTCTTTGAAAATAACACCAACCAGAATGTATATGCTCACCACAACTCAATCTTGATAGACGACTGCAAGGTACATTTCACATTAACGGACATAGAGACTTGTATGTAGAGAATCCTCCCCAGCTCTGTGTCTGTGCTCTTTTCTTGTCTGTGTTTGTGTTTCTTTTGTATGTGACTTCTTATATTTGTGTATTTGTGTCTATGTTAATAGTAAATGTCATATTTTCATTGAAGAAAATGTTTTTAAAAGGGGTGAAAAAGCTAAATAAATATTTCTATATTTATTTATTCACCTGTTAATTATATGAAAAAGCAGTTTTTGTGATACCTGGTTCATCAAAAGCAAAGATTGTTATTTTTTATAGTTATTTATTTATTTAGTTTAAGTATCTGTTTTACTCTCATGAAATCCAAATGAAAGTGTCTATTTTTAAGCATAAACCATTCCAAATCCTTTGTCTTGTACACAGTTATATTGAACTTGTATTTTGTTGTGGTATGTATTTATTTTATTAAGATCTGTTCTTTTTTTGTCTACTTAATTGGACATGTATTTGTGGCAGCCCTGACCAAATTACAGTTTTCAATCATAGGCCATCTTTTGAAAGAGATTTTGTAGCCAGTGGTACATAAAAACTGCTGTTTCACCATTTTTCATCCAAATGCCTATCAAAGATCCTTTCCTATCAATATTGTAGCTAGCTTTCTAAACAAACAAGAGCAAATTGTTGTTATTTTTAGACAATTTCACTCATACAGTAGAATTCTGTTATTATTTTAGTGTCTATATAATGCAACTTTTTTTCTGACTCTAAAGTTGCATTCCGATTATTGAGGATTGTAATTCGGTTGGGCAGAGAATCCATAAAATATATGGCCAACTCTGAGAAACTATAATCATCCCTGGTTTCAGATAATCTTGTAACTGACAGACCACATTAACACATAAACAGCATCACTGTGTCATTGAATCAGTGTATGAGAAGATATGTATTTTATTGTTCGGGATTCACACAGTAAACTTCGCCCCCAAGGTCAATGGCCTGAATGTAATGAAGCAATGGCTTCTCTGCTCCCAACCATTGACAGTGTGTACATGACGGTGCCTTGGCCCCATAGTTAGATGTTCTTGATAATTGCTTTCAGGTCAACATGGGCAAAAATGGGAAGACCGCAGAGTTCTCTCTTGTTGAGGAGGGACCATGGAAATGCGAGTAAAGCAGATCCAGATGCTGCTGCGCCTTACCCTGAGTTCCAACAGTTTTTACTTTCTGACAACACAGCTATAAAAGAAAAATCACATAAAAAAAAAGAAGCTAGCAGAGTCACTGTACTGCAAGAATGAACAGTTGGTCAGTCATTTTCTGTTACCCAACTGGGTAGCTACTGGAGCAAACTACAGATGATTCACCAACTTGTATTAGATCTTGCATTTGCACACGAACTGTAATGAACTGCTGCATTCCATGCGCTTTGTGCAGAAGAATAAATCTTTCAGTTGACAACACTCAGGGCCTTACCTGGTGCTGCTGCAAGCTTCCTGTTCTGTCAACAAAAGAATTCTTCTATCTTGTGCAACATCTCGTTTGTATTGAAGCATTTTCTGATGATCAGCGGTTTTGCGTATGTGTGATATCTGATGTTCTGTCTTCTTATATCCAGAAATGTATTCAAGCTGGATTAATGAAAACATAAACTGAATTTTATGAAACAGTGCATTGTGTGGCATTATGATGTAAGTGCAGGATGGTTTAACACTGCATTACCTTTGACTGTTTGACTTATGGGATTACACCATGATGTCGCACACATGGTCAAGCCTAAGAAGCAAAGCTTAGGACTTAGACCATAAGAGGAGAGCATGTGTCCTCTAAATGTGGCAACAAACAGTACAGGATGTGTTGCAGAGAGCCGTAAAGAAAAAATAGAGAATGTGACTGGTGTCCTCACAGTTATTTATTTATTTATTTTTTCTACATACAGCATGTTCTTATGAGTGAAGCACTGAGTTTCTGTGTGTAGTAAAATATGCCTGTGTACTGAAATGTATGTGTGTTCATGTGTGTTTCTGAGAGCAAGAGAGGAAGATTAACAAGGAAATAAATTTGGAGGTTCAATGAGAGAGAAAAATGGGGGGGTCAGGGGCAATGGTTTCTCAAACTCTCAGCAGGCTAGTGCATTGCTCTGTGTTTTATTTCAACTGTTTATTTCTTTGCTATATGACAACCTTGCCTTGACAATGTCAACTGCAGAGTGCATGTGACGATTAACACATTTTTGGATAAAAGTTACCACTTTTTATTTCAATAGAATATTGGGACTCACAGTTTTGTAGAAGTACAGTTTCTCCACCTTCCAGCACGGCTCTCAGAGTGAGGATGGCTGGGCCTTCCTCAGCTAACTACGGATTTTTGTTTTTACACAGCATATTTAAATCAAAAGAACACACTTATAATTACATGTAGAGTAAATTAGCTATGGTCATGTCTGTTTATCAAGTGCACACTAAATTCTGCCTCCAGCACTCGCATAAATCAGAAGCCGTAACAACAAGGTCATTGGATGTTGGCTGAAAATGCACATGTTTTTGAGTTTAACTGCATGTAGCAACTCTGTTCAAACCTAGGTGAATACATGATTATTTATTTCTCTTTTTATATAAGCGACAGCTTATATATTCATGTTTAAAGTGCCTCCTTGCACTTTGTGTATATACTCTGCTTAGATAAAGTGTATAAATCAAATACATAGAATTTGACATTTTATTTCATTCATCAGAATTGTTTTTGCTATGCTAAAGGTTTCTGAAAAGACTATAACTATATGAATATTAGTTAGTTGTCTCAATAAGTTGTGAACTTAGGGTCATTTATTTACAAGCAATGCATTAAATGTATTTATTTCAAGAGAAACTACTGAGCTCCAAATGAGTGTCAGAGAAGAAAGCCCAATATTTCACTTTCACTTGTTTAAGGACTGAATGTTGTTATGGACTCATCCCATATTTGGGTATTTACGGTTATGTGTACATAAAGGCAGTTTTGTGTGTGTGGGATATTGGTTTTGGCACCTAGAGTATGTCTACATGTTGTCAGACCACTGCAAGCCATCCAGTGTTTGGCTCAACCAAAATGGAAGAGAGTCCTCCTCAGTGATTATCAGCATGTCCCTACCATGTCAACCCATTATCTATTAACTGAATACATCCATTTTCCATCTATTTCGTTTGTTATTGGGCCTTGATCTAAATAAGAATATGTTCCTAGTCAAATGGCCTAGTGTAGCAGGTGTTTTCTATCAACATGTGAAATTGTACACTCTTTAGATAATAAAACTTATATTTTCTATCTTTCTTTTTGATTCTGAGCACATATTGGTCCCAGAATTTATTCAACATTTTCCTTGTGTCTGACATTCATTGTAACGCAAAACTTCTTTTGACTTTGACTGACTAAATGCAAGCAAAATGAAATGCACTTGTTCTAAATAAACTATAATACTGCACAAAAATATTTGTCAGGCAAATGGACTGAAAGTGTGCAAATGTTTTAATACTTGTTTGTAAATATGAATGGAAACAAATAAATGTTTATTGATGAGCCTCCGTTGTGGTTTATTTTTCAGATAAGGGCAGATGTGATATGAACATTCAATAACAGCATATATATAACAGCTGTGTAGGGTGTTAAGAGAAGCTACTGAGTGAGTGGGCTGAGCACTGTTCAGTACAGAGCTCCCATAATGAATGTGGGCAAACAGAGCAGCTTAATGTAAATTACCATTCACAACATGGTCTTTAATAATATTATTACAAAGACATTTAAAATAATACTGTATGTATTTTAACTTGAAAAAAGACATTTTCACCAAACCACAGAATCACGGTCTTGTGTCCACTAACAGACCTGTGAGTAAATAAAAAAAAACACACTCTGTATAGGTTTTTCAGTTTGAAACAAATGGCATTGGTGCATCTTACCCGACCAGTTTGTATTTTACAGTTTAAAAAGTTTTGATATGACAATAAATACATTCTAAGTCCAAAATAAAGATATATGTGAAGAGTTTTTGAGTCCGCTGGAAAACCCCGGTTCTCCTTCAGACTGGGCTCAGAGCTATGAAAGTCCAAAGAATATTTTTGCTCAATAGCCCTAACAGATTTGATCCTCTAATCAAATTCCTCTGTTTCAAACACAGTCTTGTGGCTCTGAGATGAGTCTGAAGCTTCTAGAGAGTATGTTTCTCAACGTCAGTGTGATGAATATTTCTGTGGAAGCTCATCAAGAGCGATGACTGTGTATTCTGCCGCCTTTCCATTCTCTCTGGGATTGTCTTTGTACAGGAACGTCTCCATCTCTTGCTCCCTCTGCTGGTTCGAGGAGTTTGTTTTGGTCTCTAGCTGAGATGCCTGATTTGGTCCATACCACCTGTAAAATAAGGAACAGTTAGAATTTTATTCTATGCTAATAAATTTATATTCAAAAATGTTTTTCACATTTTTCAGATTTTAAAGTCTCACTTGTCTCTGGTAGCGATGGCAACGGAGAGTATTACCAGTGCTGCAACACCAGCAATAAAACCAACAACAATGATCCAACCTGGAGATATGGGAGAGTAGGAGTTAATAATATGGACTATCTTAAGCAAGAGTTTAATCATCCAGAAATCAATTATTTGTTGAATGCATTTTTTGCTGGACTCGCCTGGTGTACTGTTCTGGGGTGATGCAGGATTGACAGGTTCTTGAACAGAAAAACACATACATGAACCTTTCCATAAACAATCACTAAAGACAATGTGATTGCAATTATATGACTATTAGGGCAAGTCTAGGGTATTTACCATTATTGGGTGGTAAGTTCTGCAAACTGCGTTGCTTTCCAGATGACACTGGTATTTCTGGTCCTTCACTTTCTTCAAAGATTTGTGGGACAGCCATGGAGGTTGAGGATGCAGTGCTAGTTTCTGTGTTGGAGCTAGAGGTCATACTGGAGCTTGTATCAGGGTTCTGTTCCAGCATCGCTTCACCCCCAGACCCTAAATCAGAACTGTCAAAGCTGTTGACAGCGGGGTCAATAGTTTGAAAGGCTGAGATGTGGTCTGGGGTGACACTTGACTGTGGCATTGATGAAGAGGTAAAACTAGACTGAGTGCTTTGGGTGGTAGATGAATCTGAAGTGTAGTCATCAGTGTTCCTTGGCAACACTGTGGAGGTAGAGCTCTGTGCATGTGAAACATGAGTTGCATAGTGTTCGCCTCCATGATGGAGTAACATGAAGGTCATGGAATAGTCACTGTTGTCCCCTGTAGCACTGCCCTCAATCAGGTCACTCTTTTTGGAGTCAGAGAATGGCTGCTGTGATTCTTGAATGGTTGTGTTTCTTTTGGGGGATTCAGTTGTGGGAAGAATGAGAAACTCGTCCATCATCGCCTCTTGGAGAACATCATCCTCAGCTTTGGTGGGGATCTGGTTAACATCTAGGACAAAGAGAGTTGGAAAAATCCAAAGGTCACCTTATGTGTTTAACTACCAGCCCGGACATGAATGGAAAGAAATGTTAATATTTGTTGATGTATTACAAAAGGACTGGGCTGACATACTTTGGCCCAGATTCTTGCATAAACTTGTGTTGTGTTCTTTGAGGTGTGGCGAGAAACAGTAATGATAAACCTGGATGACTAATTGTCTATGAGTGGGTTAACAAAAGAGGCAGTCTCATAAAAGCAGAGCACACCGCACTTTTGACACACCCAGTACAGCAGAGCAAACCCTGACTGTTCTTTTTCTCTGTTTTAGCTGGAATGAAGTCATTGTCAGGCATCTCTGCCATTAAGGAGCAGGAAGCTAGAGGATACATTAGGTAGTATGCTTTATCATATAATTAATGCAAACATTCTATGTTTTTGGACTTTTTCAAATCAGTGTTGATTTGTTCTATGTCATAGCATATTACCATAACCAGTGGTGGAAAGAAAGAATTTTTATCATTTAACATGTACAATTATTGTACTTAAGTGCAGTTTTGAGGTACTTTTACTTTACTTTAGTATTTCCATTTTATGCGACTATGCCCTACCCCACTACATTTCAGTAGGAAATATTGTGCTTTTTATCTGACAGCTACTTACTTTTCAGAATAATATTTTCTATTAACAAAACATATACGATAAGCGTGCAAAATACATTACATTGTTAAAGAATAAACTATTGGTTTCCAACCTTTTTGGCATTTTTTACTTCTTACAAAAAACAATGTCTGTGGGTTTAGTTATCTATAAGTTGTTAGCACCAAATAAATATTTTCAACAATGGTTTGATTTAAAATACTTTTTATGGCCCAGATTTATCCTGTGACTTCCGTAGGGGCCCAACCCCTAGGTTGGGAACTACTGGTCTAAGGTAACGGTTTATAAAGTTGCCGCTAAAGTTGCGGGAAACTAACTGCAGGTCAGCAATCTACAGTAAAATGCTACACATTGATCCAACAAGATTAACAATCTAATAATATTATGTACAATTATTTCAGTCACGTTGACAATTTTTTCTGCGGAACAATCTGATAACACTTAAGTACTTATACTTAAGTAGTATTTGAAATACTTGCCTTATACTTTGTATTGAGTATTTTTTCATTGTGTTATTGATACTTTTACTTAAGTAAATGGTCAGACTACTTTTTCCACAACTGACCACAATAAGAATAATCTGTTAGATCTTTCAGAAAAGCCGATTTTTTAAAATTACAAAAAGGCCTAAGAATCAAATCACACATCTCCACTCTCCATTTCTGCCCAGTCATGTTCAGCTCCAGTGTTTCCTATGAAGTTACCAGCTGCCCAGACTTGTGTAACAGCACTTTGCTGATCTTTGGTTTCACCTTACTGAAGACATAAGCATTAATGCACCTCCTGAATCAGCTCAAAAGAGTTTACAAAGATCTCTGTGTGTGTAATCTGGAGATGTCAGTGAAACCTATGCACCAGCAATGAAATACTACTCTGGCATTCTTACAGAGAAAGTTAGACCTGAAACACAAAGAGCATCTTAGGTGGATGCTGACTCACTGAGTAAGTAAAAGGACATCATGGGAATTATTGAAATTTCAGAGGTCTGAGGTCTATAGGAGAATGATTGTTTTTGTCAGGCTGCAAATGCCATGACGATGACAAGTTATGAGATTGAAAAAGTTTGCCCAAGTATTTATTTGACCACCTATGAATACCTTACATGATGTTATAAGCATAAACAAAATCTACCTGGATTTGGATCTTTAATCACATAAAATCACAAAGCTACTCAGAAAAATAGAAAGTGTTAAAGTGTTTCACACAGAATGTGAAAGACAGATAAAAAACAGCATTTTCACTTACTGTCAATAGGTGTCGAGTGGACAACCGCAAGAAGTCCAAGAATCACTCCCAAAAGAAGATTCTTCATCTTCATACCAGAAACTTGTGATGGAGCAGTGGACTAAAACTCTTAGTGAGCTGGACCTATTTGGCACACTGAACTGATAATTTGAAGCAGATGAATCATGCCATGGCTTTTATACAGCAGGTAGGTGGTGTTACATCAGCATGGCTGGTGACACAGAAACACATACAGGAGGGCTGGCCCACGTGTGAACAAACCCTCTTCCTCACACACTTTCTCACACTTTTTTATTTCCTCATGAAACACAAAAATTTTAAATCCAGTTGTTCAGGAAGTGACTTTGTTTTAAGATTCTTCTTGCTGGAAGAAAAATTTACCACCAATTACTTAGGAAATATGGCTGAATGGTCTCATTTACCACCAAGTTTATGGGGTTTTTTTCAGTTTCTTCAAGGGGTCAAGGTCAAGGGTATCTTTAGAGGGGCAATTTGTTGTACTGCCAGCAGTCACTACACAAAAAACAGACAATACACAATAAATTCATATTAAAAAAATCACACTGAGTTATTTAAAAGGCCAATGGCAACAGGGACAGTGATTATTCTACTGCTTAACTTAGATACATCTTGTAAGTGACCACACTCAAAAACTCAAAAAGCAGTGTTCCTAGCAAACATGGGATTAAAATAGGTTGGATGTAAAGTGATAAAATAAAATCTCAGCTGTAATATCTGACTGATTAATGTCTAAAAGGCCAAAGATTGTGGAATGTAGATGTTATATTCATATTGTAAGTAATAGTTACACACACACACATATATATATATATATATATATATATATACAAACTTAAGAAAAGACCTGTTGGCTAACAGTTTGGAAAATGCATTGGAAAAAGATCTTGGATGGAGATTAGATAACTTTTGTGCAGTTCTGAAGATGCATGAAACAACACATCCTTTTTCATTACTTATCATTCTTATCACCCACATTCCCATGTCACAGGAGAAACCATGGGTTTCAACAAAACAAGAATCTAGATTTTTGGTCTTTGACCTCACCAGATAGACCACCAGTCTGGCTCAGTATTATCTCCCTGCAGGCAGTGTGTGTTGTGATTTACCGGTTGATGCAAATTGATGAATCACTGCAGAGCTTCATCCTCAGGCTTTTTGGCACTTTCATGAATTTGCGACAGTCATCATGAATTACTCAGCATGCGTGGGTAAGCGCTTGTCCAGTCTTGCGCTCCACACCCAGAAAAGGATAATTTTTTGTTAAGAGTGGAGACTCTAAATTGCCCTTAGGTGTGAATGTGTGTGAACGGTTGTTTGTCAGCCCTGTGAATGGCGACTTGTCTGGGGTGTACCCCGCCTCTAGACCGATGTCGGCTGGGATTGGCTCCAGCCCCCCCGCAACCCTGAACAGATAAACTGCTGAAGATGATGAATGGATGGATGGATGTTAAGAGTGGAATTTTGCAATGTCAACTATCAAGCATGTAAAAGTCAGCTTTCACCAGCTAGACACTGCTGGTGATTCAGTATTCAAATGATTCTCACAGTGTGGTTGTACAGTGATTGTTTAGGTAATAGGAGACACATCATGTTATGGGACATTAAATCCTATGAGGTAAAAGGTGGGTAAGTTATTGTCATTTTTGAAAAATTATTTTAATATAGGTCCAAAAGGTCAAACATTTGCATTATTATTCCTCTTAGAATGTTGCCCTTTGAACACTTAACAAAACCTGTATTTTTGGTGGAAATTGTAGTCAGGATTTTGGAGCAGTAAAACAGTAGATTGAGGGAAAGGCTGAGATATATGTATAAGGCTAACAGGCTATGTTTTTCATCCTCCTGTAAACTTCAGTGGCTTTTCAACTACCATGAAGTTGAATCAATAATGACTTAATTTTCTTTCTTTTTTTCCCGATTTTTCTTTGTTTTGAGATGTGAGATGGGGTTTTTCCCTTAGGTTGAACATTGTTCAATTTTCAAAAGCAAGCCTTGATACAAAGCAGTGAACTCTCGGGTGGTGTAAGATTTGTCTTCCAGTGTACACCAGTAAATTTAAATCTTGAAAATTGAAGCAGGCTGATGGTCAAAACATGAACACAAGCACTTGCTGGCTCACTGCTGGCTCACACATGAAATAAAGTTTTGGGGGAGGAAAAACAGCATTGTTGATTGCTTAACAAATATTCAATTTTGACCATATCAATGAGATGTCAAAAGGAAATACAAACCCAAACAGGGATAAAGTAATGTTTCAATACTTCCAAATGGAATTATTAGATTCACTGGAAGTTTTGGAACGTTGATGCATCATTGTTTACCAAAATAATCCTGTATATATATAATCTTGTGTGTATCCCTATGTAATCTGAATTAAAACCATAATTGTACATTTTTACATCAAGTATTTAGTCTTTATTTGTTCAATTAAAAATCAGGGTCAACACAACACACAATGATGAGATGATTGAGACAATAAATATGGGGAGAAAGAAAGTGGTGGCACACAGAGTCTTCCCCAATACAATATCCACCAAAATCAATGGTTTTGTCTGAAATCATTTCCCATTTCCGTCAGTGGTGAATCTCTGTCCAGTAAATTGAATTTTCTTTTAAAGTTTAGCTGTACGGTAAAACATCATGAAAAATAATGAGTAAACAGTCTGACACATTACTGTAGCTGAAAAAATACTGGTTCATCATCACTTGGCCATTGTTGTGTTTTATATAATATGTATATATACCCCTATTTTTCACCTACTCGTACATATTAGTTCTATGTTTGCTTTAACTTATCATTTTGTGTCCTTGTTAAACTGGCTTCATATTCCTTGTATTTTTACACATATAAAGCAATAAAGCTGATTTGATTGTGATTGTTTAACCTGCACTTGTGTTTACTCTGCTTTGACACTGGCTGCACGGCATTTGAACTTCCTAGTTTGCCCCATATTGCATGGCAGCAAAGGGAGGGAAAACAGTGTAACCAGTGCAGGTGGCAAGTATTGTATTAATTTAGTTAGTTGATGATCAAACAGCAGTAGGTAGTGTTTAAGCAGAGTTGTCCAGAGGTGTTTTAGAAAAGGGAAAGTGTATAACATTTTATTTCACCATATTACAGTGTGCAGACATCATTAAAACCAAGGTTTGAATTAATCATAATAAATGTTGCGACACGGGCAAAATCATATTTGGGTCCAGACATGTTAACTACTTTTGACTTTTTATCTATTTTACTGTTAGGCTACATGTGCTTCTTGCTGCCCAAGCCACCAGATCAGATTGTCTAGTTTGAGACTCACCCACTGTATCTCCACGGTGCCAACTATTTAAGTGAGTGAGCAAAACATGAAACTAAACATGGCAGGAAATTAGTTTTAAATTTGCCACTCCTTTTCAGTTGTATGTTAATTATGCCGCACATAAGTATGATACCTGGGATGGGCCTATTTCAACATGTCAAATTTGAAGTTGCTTCCTCAGAATACTCAAAGGGTTTTTTACAGTTACCCTTTCCCATACACAATATGACATGGAGTCTATCCAACAGGAAACTAAGTAAAGCTGTGAGGAGTGGCTGTCTGAACCATCCTTCACACCAACAGATTACCTGTTCAGACTAGATGTACAGGTTCTCATTAAATAGACGTGTTTTACATTCATGACTTGAATAAAATCACATTCATGGTGGTGGATTTAGGAAAATAGGGGCACAGGGGATTACTTAAAGGAACACACTGCATGCAATATGAAATCATGTAAATGGTTATTCCTGCATTCTTTTCCCTATCACATACTTTTCCATTAGTACTACAGCTCTATGCCTTATACTGTAACAATATGACATGTATGATTTATGTTTATTATCTGGCTCTTGCCTGTATTGAATAGCTACTAATTTTTGCTTGCATATCTTAGTTTATCTATATATCTACAGTATGTTGTCTTCATTTAAACTTGTAGTTTGCAATGTGTGTACATTGAGAACTACTGATGGCAAGAGTAAATAGTTACTGGCCAAAAATCATTGAATTTATTGAAGTTTACTAGGTACATCACAGTCTGATGTAGGTTCATCAATGAATCAGCTTTGACAGACACACAAAAAAAATCTGGGATCTATGGCTGCCGCAGGACTGTAATAAGCATGGCCAAAATGACTGTCTGGAATACCTGTCTACCTGCTTACCTGCCTACCTGCGAGGAGTGGCTTTGGAGGGAAGGCTAAAGGGAGGGATGACATTTTTTTCAGTTGGATACTTAAAAAAAAAAAATTGTAGCTGTCTTTTGCTAGTTTTTCCAATGTTGCCTACCCTAGCTTTAAGTTAGTTAGATATGATGGTATAAAAGTAAAGAGATGCAGTATGTTGAACAAACCATATGATGTTGTTTGGAAAGGAGAATTAGTAATCATGTTAGACATCTAGTACTGTAATCCGTTTAGATCTGTGCTGGCAGCGGGGTGATGTGAAAAACCAAGCAAGCCATAAAACAGAGCCGTGGAGGCTTAATAGGTCATAATACAGGACTAAACACAGCTTAAATGTTGAAAGCTGACAATGGAAGGTATCCAAAAGTAGCCTTTGATATGCAGAGAGTGATTATGGTTTAATGATATGGGTGTAGCTATAGGAGAGAATTTATAGGGTTAAAAGATTAGATTAGATTCAACTTTATTACCATTGCATGAATGGATGTCCAGAATGAGCAATAAACTAGGAAAATCTTATCAAACATCCAGCAGTGAAGTAACTATACTATTTATGTTTTCAAATATTGGACTAGATAGTTTCAAGATATGTTTCTTTACTTTACTTAATTGTATGCTACATTATAAAGTACTCTTAGAAGAAAACATCGGAGGCTACTTTTTACTCTAATTGGCTTTTTATTTAACAGTAAGGAGTAGTGCTTTTTCAGATTAACATTTCCCATACAAACCTCTATAACATTTGATGTATTGTTTGCCTATTATAGATTCAAATACACAAAAGTACATAACGCTGTTAAAAGCTCCACCTCGAGAAAGTAGCCTTTCAAGTTAATGCATAGGCTAATAACGATCAAAATATATAATAATATGAATGGGAGAGTATTTTTTCGTCATTGCTGGGCTTTTATTTCTAATACAGTATTTTTATAGTATAGTATTGCTTCTTTCACTCAAGTAAATTTTC